CTTGTAGACAATGCATTCGGGTTTACTAAAGGAATATACGGTAACGATAGGATCATATGAGCTAGAAATAACTTAAGCTTAGAAATGAGAGCAATATATATATATATATCATTTATCAATAAAACCCTATTGTAGAAGGAAGAATACTTCCGTCACGCAGAATCAAGAAATAGTTAGAAGTTAAGGAAGCCTCAGTTTGCTCTCGCAGAGAGCCGGAAATCATCAGAAACACTAAGTATTACTATTTTATTTTTTTATTATTTTTGATTACAGCTTGATTCCACACCGTATTTATAGTACAATTATGGAATTTTCAGCATGTGATATCGATAGCCTAAATTTTGCAGGCCGACTATAGATATTAGGTGTGCGTCTGCAGGGGATCGAACATCGGACCTTGGTACATATGCCTGATGATTATCTCTTTTTCAATGCCTTATATATTAAAGATAGATCTACTTGTTTACTGTTAGCGTATTCATGTCTGGTAAAGTAATCTCTAACAAACTGATAGGTGAGAGGATAAAATTGAACGAGCTCCCTCTTCAGTTTTCTAATGTTATTGATGGAAAATAAATGATCACACAGTTGCATTTGAAGCATTTCTTTGAAGTAACAATTTGATGACAGCGTCTGCAGTCCTAGAATAAAAGTTAGAATAATTCATAAATCACCACGTACACGCTAATGGATCTGTGTGTTGCAGGATACTAGAAGACGTTCAACAAGAAAGTAGTCAATAGAAAGTCCTAGAAAGTTTTCACATCGTATAAGTATTTGATCGCCTGGTGAAACAAGAATTCTCAAAAGACCATGTGCCTCAATTCAGATTGCTCTGCATAAATGACGAATAATTGCATTATCTTGATTATTCTTTGAGTGGCATGATTCATCAAAACGTACAAATCTATAGGCTGTTTGGATAGGAAACATTCTGGTTTTTGGCGGATGGCCTTAATCTGTGGGCTAGCGAAATTACTATCCATCAAACTGCTTAGACGCTTCTGCATTTCTTATTCTGAAAATCATACAGTCATTTAAGGTGATCGTTACATGAACTGCTACGCATTTCCAATTAGCGTCCGGGTAAACAGTGTGAAACTCTTAAAGAAGATGAAACAAAAATATGGGATTGGTATTTTCTTCAAACGCAACAATACTACGTCACATGACAAACCAGATTATTCAGTTCACATTTAGATTTTCCAGTCGATTGATTGGAATGAAGTGCTTGGTCTCAGATAAACATGTCAACTTCTTATGTGGATAGTTCAATGATGTCTGGCCATGTTATTTTGAGTTGACTGATGGATGGTGACTAGCTGTTGAATCCAGGATGCGCATTTCGTCCTATTTAGCCTCGTCAACTGCATTTCGCAGTCAGAGGTGACGTTTACACCGAGGTGTCCTGGATTCCACCACTAGTCGCAATCCACTTATTGACTTCAGATTATTACTTTATGTGTAAATTCTGTACGAAGAGGAAATACCCTGAAAATGTATGTTTTATGTTTTCACATTCTGCCTGAAATAAAGCATTATGATTGGTTGATTTATTTTTAAGGTTAGTAGGCTACTGCTCAGCACTTTTAAATGTAATAGTTCTTTGCGACTGTTATAAGCTATGACTAGATAACAACACTGAGAGTATGGTAACATGAAACTCCTAATTTCAGTGCAATCAGTAACTTCTGATGCAAATGTAAACAGAAGTTTTAAGAGAGAAGCAGGGCCGAAGACACATTTGTATCATACCTCAGTGGTCCACATGTTTCGCGTAGACACGACATTAACAAGTTATGCTTCGTCTCATCGGCAGTGGAGTGCCCATCAATGAAGCATTTTATATTTCGCTTAGATAATGCTGTATTTATTAGTAGAATCATGATTATAATCGAATGACACAATTTACAATTGATACAAGTCACAGAAGACTCTTCCACATAACTTGAACGTCAGCAAAGCTTAACACATAAAAGCCTAAGACAGAGAAACACTGAAAACCAGAAACTACTAAATGGTAGTTTCGTCCTGATTTGAGTCTGAATTACTAAAGGGATGCACCCATTTCTCCATCAAGTATCGAAATGAAGACCTACAGGTTAAAGGCAAGCATTCAGATTATTCATCTACTAGGATAGAGCTCAACAAATTATCAAATAAACTTCTTCTTATTTGTAAAATAATGCGCAACTAGCATAAGATGTTGCCTAACAGAACCTATTCAATGGATTCTGCTTGTCACGATATCTGAAGAGAAATTCAGTCAAACCCATCCAATTTCCTAACACAAAAGGTTACTTAGTTTATTTTCGAAAGTTGCTTTTCAATAACTGCAGCCTTTGAGTTCGACTGCTTGGCATGCCATCGTTTCATAATGCAGATGAGTCTCAAATGGACACGAATAAATTAAATCTCTGGAAGCAAAACGTGGGAGAATTACTTATGACTAACACGAAGTACGCATTAAACTTACAAAGTACACACAAGTTTGCCATCAGACTGTTCGCCCGATTAATAGTGGGATGGAAACGATGATTACTGACTGTTGTATCATATTCTTGTTGCCATGAAAGCGGTGAAAACTATGCACTCACAACTGCATCAGCGAGTTTGACACTAGAATTTTGAATAAACTGCATCTGATGAATTTGATGGAACAAATGTCACTTCTTTGACTAGCATAACTTAAGAAATCAGCTCGATGTCATTCGACGTCATATGTTTGTCTTATGCACTAATCTCTTTAGAGTAAGGTGACATATGTGAAAGCGTCATGTAGAGAATGCCCAGTGATCAGGGTTCTTCCTTTAATCGGAGAAGAAGTCGTCAACCGAGTAAAATGTGATGCCTATTACACTGCTTCTTTCGTTTCTCTATTCTTAACATTCCAGTTACCAAGACTTAATGAAGAGACAGACAATGTGACAGGTGTTTATTACTCAATCAAATATTCAAGAAAAACTTTCATTTAGAGACTTTGGAGTAAAAGCAGCACTACTGAGAACTTGATAGGAAGTATTAACTGAATACGAACGACACCATCTAAACAATCAGAACAATGTTGCTCAGTGTGACGTATAAACTGTCATCATCACTGGACAGGATGATTCAAAAATGACTTGCGTTCCAGTCAATCACGTCGTATTCAATGAGGAAGAGAAGGAAATTCCATTTTCTGATGTCTTAGTAAAGCCAGCGAATGCAGATAAATTTTGGCAGTATTCGAGAAGAACATCAGTCAGCACATACACAAAAGTGCTGTTTCTTCGTCTTGCGATTAAAATACCCAGAAACCTTAAGTGATCAACTCAATAAGAAGTAGACATAAAAGAATTTTCACGATATAGATTCACTGGAATTAACAAACTTCGACTCAAGACAACCGAAATCAGGAAGCGCCTGCCGAAAATTCTGAATTACCAGAGTGGTTTCTTCGGAAAGAATCGATTATTCTGTTCAAATTTGTTCAGTTAAGCGCTTAGAATTTGAAGAATTCTTATATATATCCACATGATGTGTGTTTTTTGTTTTTGACAGTCTGTTATATTTTGCTATGTGTATATGAATCGATATTTCATTATAACTGACAATATGCTTTTGTCTGTCCATTAACTAAATAAACATGTATGACCTTGTTATGACATGACATTACAACCAATCATGTTAAGACTGTCTATTTATTGGTTCATGTGTATTAGTCATTTTGATATATACTTTTGTATTAGACACTTGTACATTATTCTGGTTCTCACATTTTCGTACACTTGTACCAATTCACTCACACACTAGTGTGACATTTATTTTCCCTGTCTTGAAAAATACAAGTATCATGGTAAACCTCGTGGTTTTCTGATTTTCTTCTTTCGGCGTCAGGACTATTTACTACTCGACGAGTACATAGTATAATTGGCGACGGGGAAAACTCTAATAACTCACTCGGCAGCAGTACATAACAAATTCTCTGTCTGGATCCTAGGAGAATTGTACATGTTGCCTTCATGAGACCATTTAAGCTCAAATCTGTCCCCTAATAATGGTATCCGAACACCCTTCATCTCGTATTTTATGTTAAATGCCTCAAACAAAATTAAATAATGAAATTTTGTAATTGTGAATAGGCATTTAGTGAATACGACATCACAGAAGTGCCTTATGAGTTCAATACCTACTTGGAAACTAATTGATATTGAATTATAACATTTCGTAGTCTGTAGTTGATAAAAAGCATGTTCAGAATCCATGTTTTAATTAATTATTATCTGGAAAAAATATCACCTTCCAGTAAAAAGATATTAATGAAACCACGAATGTCAATAGGTTTTGTGGGCATGGTGGATTCTCAATTTCAAAGATAGAGTATATTGCTGTGAACAGTCCAAGAATTTCCAACCATAAACAGAATGCTCGAAATATAATTGTGCAATAAGTACTCTTGTATGAGATGCAAAGCCGCAGTTTGTTCATTGTCAAGAAAACCGCCTGAAATGTGGAGAAATAAGCAACGATGAATGAAGCAAATCTACTAATTGGGACATTTTTGCCTATACAAAGTATTTTAATGAGTGTATCATATGATTCATGAACTTGTGGATGTCAAACGGTGAACAGTGCATTCGATAAAACTAAAATGACTTTTGAAACCTGGGATAAGCCTATATGCTACAATTGTCTGACAGAAGAGGTTCACAATGCGGTCCCGGTTGAATAGTAACCTTTCTGAGTGGTCTGCACTCTTGAAAAATAATTTATACTTCACATCACACATCATCACTAAATTATGTGTGTGTGTGTGTGTGGAAAGTTTCAAGATTAAAAGCTAACGAGTCCCATTCCGCTAGCAATATTGGCTGCTATGCATTGAAAACAAACGTCCTAAACAGTAGAAGATGACTTAACAAACGCTACATTTTACATTAGATATCGGTATAGAAACATTAAAACATCATTATAATAAGCTGGCTCACCCCAGATTACACAGATATTGAATTGGAACTTACTAAAACCACAGCGATACCGAAACAAACTGCAATGGTATTTGTGTAAATCCGCTAAAATTATGCAAAACAAATTCAACATCAGAAACCGTCTTGTTAAACTTTAAACAAAATTCAGGATTTTCTTTTAGTTAGCTGAAAAGTCTTTCATTCATTGTCACTAAAGTTCCACCACACTACTAGAATCGCCGATGAATGTACTGCACCTATGCTATAATTACTATAATTCCTGGAAGATATCACTTTACATTCATCTGATGTACTCTAACCTCATAAAAGTTAATTAACACTGTTGATAGTACATGACTGCAAATTCAGTCAGTTTATTTTCAATAGAATAAACGCCTTCATATGTTATCAATTATATGGTGGAATACTATATTAGATGGGTGGACAGATAGATTCAAAATACCGTGGAACTTATTTTGACGACTCTCAAGGACCGTAAAAGAGGACTGAAAGGAAGCAAGTTGACGTCTGCAGAAATAAAACAATAGTCCACTTTAGGACGATTTCCTCAGGATTCATCTTCTCTAATCTCATGAAATGGTTTATAGTCATGTAGGTATAACCTCCTAAATACATGGAATTCACGTCTTTGTTTTCCATATGTAGCATTATTTAAATTAACAGTCATCAGTCAGGTAGTGTTATTGCGAATGATACATTGTGAGGCTATGATGGAATCCGATTATTTAAATCTTACCTGGGGTACATGTTGTATAATCTGAACAACGTACACAATGACTCCAATGATCACAGAAATGCACATGAGTGTGAATAGTGTAATAGTCACAGTAGTGGATGAATTTCTCAGGTATAGCGCCAAAACGATCACAACTGTAGTTAGTGCTATCGTCACAGCGAAGGATATTGAAGCAATGAAGGTGTTGAAACCACGGTACATAGTTGCGAATCCCATAGAACATAATAGGAACTAGAAAAACATTTGAGCATTATATTATTTATTTATTGCAATGCAGCATATATCAATGCAACTCAGATTTGTAGATTTCTTCGACTTATTTGTTACAAGTTCATCATTTCAGGAACTCCCGCCGGCTTGTTTACAAAGACAAACTATTGTGACATTTGACGTACTTTGATAATTCCAAGCTGCTTACAAGTCTGGCTACTATGAGAGTTATTGATCGGCTACACTATAGCGGTAAAAGATTTGACAGGGGAATAAAATATTATGGCTACTTAAGAGGAAGAAGTTTTTTCAATTTAACTGGCATGAGTGAACTAGGAATTTCGGCGATGTAGGTGTCATCAACACAAACGTGAGTGGCATAATCTATTGAGGGTCTGATTTAGTGCATACCTAGTAAAAAGAAACCTGTAAACATCTACAGCGTCTTTTGTTCTATCGATACGTGGTCGACTGACTTCGTAAGAATTGTCATCAGAACATTGAAAAATGTTAGTAATGATTTGTCCACATTTCAGTTTACTGATGTGTCTGTGAGTTACCTGCATGAATAGCTCTGTGTGTAAACATACAAATATGTCTTTTGCAATTAATTGTGTTCTCTGAGCTGGTTGGTTTAGTTGCGGAGCTTTCGTCGTCCTTCTAGACAGCATCTTCAGCTCAGTATTTAGCATAAACTGAAATGATTTAAATTCTTCTTCATGAATGATATAATTGCGTCTCCCGGTAACTATCTTTACATATGTACTGACCATTTGTCTATTGACTTGGATTTCAGACTTTCTGGTTACCTGATCTACGTTTTATTATTTGGTAAATTTGGTCTATACTAACGTGTATGTTAATTGCACTTTCGTTGAAGTGCCAGGCTTCTGGGAATTCCCAAGGATTTTGATGTTTCCTCTGTCTAAGATTTCGACATTTTCCCAATAGAACTGATGTCCGTAATTGTCTACATGCATTGGTACTAAAGAACATATATCGTGTCTTTTCACGGCTGATTTGTGTTCTTGGATTCTAATTCGAGGCGGACGCCTACTTTGGCCGATATAATGCCTGTTAAAATTCATACAATTTATTTTGTAAATGGTGTTAATTTTATCTCCTCTTTCTAATGGATCTTTTGGTTTGCATAGTATGGAATTAAGCGATTTTACTGGCTTGTGTGCTTTATGTATATCAAACAGTTTCAGTGTTCTAGCTGTTATCTCAGAGATATTTCTCATGTATCCTTAAATGAATTTTCTTGTGATCTTTGATGATGGTTCTCTTTTGGTGTTTCGATTAGACCTTAAACACTTTTTCATGAAACTTTGTGGGTAACCATTCTTTTTGAAGACCGTTTATAGGTAGTTTTCTTCCAATCTTTTCACCTCTGTAGTGCTACAGTGTGTGTTTGAACTCTTTTAAACTATGTCTCCACACAGTTTTGTTTGTGAGTATTAGGACTATTGCTAGTATAGTTGAGCGTTTGATCTGTCTGCGTTGATTTTCTATATGCTTGTGTTTCTAAATTTCCTGTGTTGGTTCTCCTGATTAAGACATCTAAAATGGGACTCTGTTATCTAATTCTTCTTCTCTTGTGAATTTGATGTCTTCAAATATTTTGTTTATTAGTTTATGCGTATATTCTAAATCATTTCTCTTAATCATCACGAATGTATCATCAACGTAACGTACCTGTCCTGATTTTTGGTATAAATATAGGTAGGTAGGACTATTAATTGTAATCTTTGCATGACGGCTTCACCTATTAATCCTGATATGGGCAATCTCATTGGTGTTCCTTTTATTTGTTCATATATTTGAGTATTGAAGTGAAAGTATGTTGCAAGGAATAGTTTTATAAGTTCTATCCAATTAGCACATTGCGTTTTTATGTTTTCACTACTATAGAGTAATTGTTGCATAGTTTCTGTTGCTAGTTTTGGACTAATTAAAGTATATAATGCTGTGACATCAAAGGACACCGTTATTTCATTGTCTTCTACTTGAATGTTTTTGGATTGACAAAATAATAGAATGGTTGCATGATTTTGTTAGGTAATTTGATTTCCTGAAAATGTCTTTGGATAGATTATATGTTGGTGTTCCTGGAAACGAAACGACTGGTCGTAAAGGAATGTTTGGTTTGTGTAGTTTTGGTCTACCGTAGAATCGAGGCAAAATAGGTTCGTTAGACTTCAATCGCCATTGATCTTGTTCTGTAATTTGTCCTGATTACGTTAGTTTATTTAGCATTTTTCTGATTTTGTTATCTAATGTTTGTATAGGGTTTTTTGTCAGCTGTTGATGCACATAAGAACACTGAAAAATGTTAGTAATGATTTGTCCACATTTCATTTGACTGATTTGTCTGTTAGTTAGCTGCATGTGGCCTCATGATTAGCTCTGTTTGTTAACATACGAATAAAAATCTTATCAAAAATCATAGAGCGATTATTATTTCTATTGGGGTCATTGTTATGTTTGCTGCATGGTGATGAAATACTCAACCCTCCACAGCTAGAAACATGCATCAGCTGTGCAATTTATCATCTGACACCAATTCTAATTTGTGGTTTTCTCAGATAAATAAAAATTATACGAAAATTCGTGGTAAATGCACTACAAGGTGGACAAAAATGGATAACAATTGTATGTTCGTCTGAAGTAAACAAAAGTCAATTCAGCTTTAGTTATAAAATCCTCATTCAGGTAACTTGGGATAACATTGACTCAAGAAAACGTACACTGAATCCTATCAGAAAATGATCAACATCACGGCGAATGTTAAGTATTTTGAGCAGTGCGAGGAAGAACATCGGAAGTGCTGCAAGTAGTCTGAAAAGTAGTGCAAACAGGTTAATTTATTACAGTGCTCACAATATCCGTGTGAAAGCGAAAACAAAATCATGTTATTAGCAAGGAGTGGTTGTCGAGAAGTGATTCTTATAGCAACTGTTTCTGAATAATCATCCTACCTCAGAATCTTTCAAATCCCTGAATCAGCTGGTAGTAATTCGCTGCAGGATATTTAGATGATTGACGTAAATGAAGTTTTACGAAGAACACTTTCAGTCTTACTGCTTCGCCATCTCATTAAGCCACTATGCACTTGCTAATTTCCTCCCTCTCTCATTCGACGGAATACAAATTGCTTATTGAATCAACAGAATTAAGGAGTATCAAGTACATCAGTTTTATTCAGTAGCTTTAACGTGTGCAGTGTTTGATAAAACTATACCGAAATCCCCAACAAACAAGAAATTGTTTGACGTCTTCACAGAAGATCCTGAAGAGTCTACCTGTGATTAGATTGAAATGGAACTGCCTTCCCTTGGATTAAACTTACATATCCTCAGTAACTTTTCAAAAGAAGCTATGTCAAATTTTAATTCGAATACCTATTCTATTAGCTGAATGACCTTATTGCAGTTGATGAGGACAAAGGAGCTGATTCGAATGTAAGCTGATTGACGTTACAAATCAATACCCCATTCCAACACCACATATTAACAAATCCTTTCCGTAAAGCATCAGAGAGTACTGAAAGCTCTCATAAATAATGAAAAACTCGTCATATTGCTTCCTGAAAAGGGATCAGGAGTAATGTTTATCGAGGTAGATAACTATATTGTATTCGATAATACGGTGTCTATGCTATAACAAACAATGTATATATATATATATATGTATACTATATGTATAGTTTGTATATATAATATACACTATACTATAGGGCGAGGAGAATATGCTCTGCAGAGAAATGAGAACAAAAATTTACGATCCTCGAAAATGTGTTGAAAAACTACGGTTAATCTTTAAAATTCATAAACAAATATGAAAGATGTGAAGGCTCAGATGTAAAATAAATCACAGTGAGAAAATAGCCTGTTTTCATTTAGTTCGACTTTAAAGGTGAAAATATTGTAGCAATCATCAACAGAAGACAGAGTATGTCATTGGCCAGAGGATATCATGCAACTAAGCTGTATCCTGTCTATTGGACAACATTTCCCTTTAGTGCATTCAAAAGTCGACATATACTCTTATCAGCTTTACCCCAACTTGTATGCAAATTAACGTATATCCGTACGGCCATTTACATAATGAGAGCGGACAGAAAGGCATACCTCTGATTTTCCGAACATGTACTGAGACGCCAATGTCTCAGGGGGAAAAACTGATCACAGTAATGTCATTTCTACGTATCCCCTTCATAAAGATGACGGACTAGAAATCGCAAAGCTCTTTAAAATTATCTATCGAGAAAAATACCCGACTCTCTTGACATTTGCCGAAGCAATCTCTATCAGGCGCCTGAAAGTTTAACTGTGTGTTGAGATAGAAGCAAGTATCAGTCTTCCCTTGCTGTGGTAACTAGATGTCTTTATCTCTCTTTTGTTTGATCACGTAAATTTTGGCTTTCATCTCTGTACGATATAGTGTGATTGTGAATATATCTTGTTAAACTCAGTACAAGCTTCCTGAATCTATAAGTCTCTCATCATCTTACGCATCGGTTGCCATATGACGTAACTCATTTACCATTGTATGCATACATAATTTTTTTCCTTCACGTTCCCAGTGGTAAATGAGGCTTCCAGCTAGTGGCTTCAAGTTCCTGTAGCAGTGTTTATTTTTACAGGATGGGGTTGCTAGCCTCATGCTCAACCTTTCCTTTCTCCCACCATTATTTCTGCATTGACGAGGTAAAGGAGTCCGTTGGCCGGGGATCGAACCCCGGACCATGTGTATGGTCGGCGAGCGTTCTAACCGCTGTGCTACCGACGCACACCATGCATACATATACTTCTTCTAAACTTGAGCTTCCTATTTCATAGCTATATAAGCGTAATTTTCTGTCCACTGTTAACCGATTCTGGAACCTCCTGTCGACTGATATCTTGTAAACTTTGCAAGAATGTTAAAAATTTTCTAAATATAAGCTTAAGAGAAATAAGCAAATCAAATAACGGTAACATGTTCTTCTGAAAAAGCTATTGTTCTTTCTGTATACA